GTTCATTGTGGTATCTAGCAATTGCGAATGTACTGAAGTCTTCGTTACGTTACTGCGAAAAGTACTTACGACCGCAAGGAGGCTAAATCGACCTCAGGTACACCAGTCTGTTTAATCTGAATTTCGAAAGTCTTTGTACGGGTAGCTCCATCGACCACCTAAATTGCAAAGGTAGCTCACAATAAATTAATTCAGGATTTACTTCCTTACATCTATAAAAAATTCATAAGATTTTTTAGGAAGAAGTTGCAATGAGTAACAACTCTTAGAGCCGTCGAAAGCCATTGCGATATCGCCAAAATGTTGTTTTTGACACTGATCAAAAATTGGCCAAAGGAAATTCTTTGGACGATCAGGCTTAATGGATACATCATAATGGTAAGCCACGTCAGGCATTTTATCTATATTCATACGTAAATAGTTTACTTCACATACTCCCCTTCTGCCAATTGTGCCTCACGATATAGTTTTGTAAGCCGGCACAGATTCTATTGATTTGAAAAGTGCACATTCATTAAAGCAAAAATATAATAAATTAAAGGAAACCTTCAACGGCACAATGACCCGCTCCAGATGCTTTTTGATTTGGTGAAACTTTTTGTTTGTGTTGTTGCGTTTTCCCTTTGTCAGTTTCGCAGTGTTGCGGTCTGATTTGTTGGCCTCCCCAAGCTCCTTCCCTATATTCCTCTTGAACTGCTCCTCCGGGACGCCCCTCCGAGTCCCAGTATTGACCGACGCTCTTGGCAGTGGCGCCTTGTTGGGTTGCCGTAGCGCTTGATTGGTGCCGCCAGACTTCCGGGGATACTTTCTGTTTGGTTTGTTGCGATTGGCTTTGTCCAACTTGCTGCAAATTGCAATCACCGCTTTCAGGGTGTTGCTGCCTGGTCCGCCGACATCTTCCCGCTCTTGCTACGAATTGTCCTGGATGCGCACTTCCGAAATAATTTTTTGACCCCCAGCCTTCATCTCCGGTTGCTTCTTGTTTTTGGTCGTTACGGTGGGCACATCCACTGGGTTGGTTTAGGATGACGGCTGCCTGCTGTTTTATACGATCGGGGGAGCTTATCTGTGTGCTCTGGTGCAATTGCTCCTTGCATGCTTGTTGTAATTGCCAAGCGTCATTTCCGCGTTGGGTTTGTTTGTTCGACTGAACCTTTGACATCTGCAGAGATGGTTGCTCTTGCGGTATCTCCCAATGTGCTCGTTCAAGGCATTTTCCCCGTCTTCCACCTCCATTATCTTGTTTATGCCTAACACTGTCGACGGTACCGCTTTCTTGTTTCTCTCCACAGGCTTCTTCTTTCCATTGTTGCTTTGACGATTTTTGGCTTCCTCGACCTCTACTTTTCGATCGATTCTGTTCCTGCTGGCGACCTTGACTGTCTCTGGCCCATTGTCTTGGACTCTGAGGCTGTTTTTCGTTCCTGGGGCTATCTTTGCTCTCTTCATTTACTTTTGTCTGACTAGTTTTACCTTGATTATTACATCGACATTTATAAAAAATAAAAATATCCAAAAAATATAACAACGAATATACACGTACGTTTATTCTCCATCCTTTGTTAGACTGCTTCAGAGATTCAGCAATTCAAAATGCCTTTTTTATATTATTCCTCTGAAAAGCAAATGCATCAATTGCAATTGTTGGAAAGAGGACGGCATACTTGTTTGATTTAAATCAAAATATTACAGCAAGTATAAAACTGAACAAGTGTAGGATTTCGTAGTTGACAGTACATCAATTTCAGCGCAATTTTAAGAAAAATCTTACATCATTTGAGTTAATGATTTTTGCAAAATGAAACCTAAAATATTGTTTTCTATTTGAATGAATTTTGAATATCAATATTTTGTTTAAAAAGTTTTAAAAATATAACCTTGACACCGTATATTATTATTACTATTAGTTTAGCCAGAGAAATAAATTCTAAGGCTAAAGTCTTAAAGCACTAGTGCCTAAGGCTATCGGTTTTATTGAAAACTCTATCGCACGATCGCTGAGTTGTTAGTCGAGATTCTTTGCCTTCGGCCGCTCAGGAGGATTGGTGACATATAAAACTTTTCTTCCACAAGAACTTTTACGTAGGGAGATGGCCAAAAAAGAGATCGGTCTTGTCCAGACTTATCTTAGTACATTTGCTAGTCAAAGCAGTGTCTTCTATTAGTTATATCCCACATCATTTATGATTGGGATATATTAAGTTTGTGTGGATTCCTGAATTGAAGGTATAATGAACGGCTGGCTTAACCACAAGCGGTGTAATGTATAATAAACGCATTTTATACAAGAATATCCCTCAACCTATTTGGATCAACGGCAACAATTATCGGGAACAGCCAGTAATTCTACTAAGGAACTGCACATATACATAATAGGGAGGTTATTGTCGTTCAAAAATAGTGCAGGAGAAGAACCTTTGCTTAGCGTGAACGTAGTATGCATACATATTTCGGCATTTATTTTGATATCAAATGTGCTCAGCCGAAGCGAAACTTTATTCAAATGAATTTCTAGTTGGGAGGGCACAACCATGCGACAACTAGATGACAATAGGTTTACCTTGTCATCAGTGCAGCTAAAATTTTCTCAGCGATCGGCCAATTTGAAGTGAAAATTGCATAAGGTGCTGGACTTAGAACATTTCCCAATGGAAGTTCACTGCACAATTGAATATATACTGCATTTGCGATTCGCAGCTTTAGCATAGAAATGCCGGTTTTGTAAGTAGAATTTAAGTAGTATATACGCTGGAGTTAGACGAAATTTTTTAAGTTTGAAATATAATCCATCCTATATAAATATCGCCTTCTAACCGGCCACACGTATGCAAAAATTTATCTTCACATGATGTGAACAGTGTTTCGGCTTATATAACATGCAAGGTTAAGATGGGAAACCTTAGCGGTACGAAGGTCCATTCGCCTAAATCCTTTTGATTTTGATGGGGGACTACTTCTATAAATAATGATGTTTTTTACTTTTTTATGGGTAGCATTTGACTTTCAATAGAGTTGAAGTGGGTATGATTTCCGAAATAACTTGACGCATTTTCCTAAAGTGTGCTGCACTTGAGCGTCATTCTAGAAGATTCGAATTACAGAATCGTTAACATAAGCAGAGATATGATAATTTTAAACGTCACCTTTTGGCAATTTTCTCGGGTTTGTATTTCTTTTGAAGAACTGTTACAAGTGATATCTTTCAAAAAATTTAAATTTGAATTTGTTGTTGAGCTCAAATTATTTATCAAATAACATCAGCATAAAATAAAGAAAAGTCTTTAAATGGGTGCCAATAGTTCAATGTCAGAAACTGCACGCATCGAAAATTTGGAAATGCGATACGGTGTACACGTGTCGCCATCGGTTGTTACTCGCTTAGAAAATGCCCAGAGACAAAATGACGATAACTCGGGCATAAAAACGTTATCTAAAGATTCACAAAATTTGAAGCCGCATCATGGAAAACAACAGCAACAAATTCAGTCAAACCAGCAACAGAAGCAAATGGAAAAATTACATCAGCTCCAGCAAGAAGCGCCCAAGAGGCCGTATAGCCATGACCGTGAAAACTGGTCTCAAAATTCTGGCAATTTATTAGATCCACCGTACCATGAGTTGGAATGTAATCAGTTCGAGAAGGCTAAGCTTAAACTTGAAAATTACTTCAGCAAACCTCTTCCGCGGGCTGACAGGGTTAACGGCGAAATTCAAGAATTAAGAAATGAACTAATTTCATGCCACCGCGATCATCCTGGGGAGCTTTTATGTTGCGCCGAAATGGCAGCGAAATTTCAAGAATTGATTTTTCGCGAACAATTTGTAAGCATTCTGAAATTTAGTCATAACACTGACGAAAATCAGCAACGGCTACAACAAGAGAAAGGAAAAGAACCGAAACATTTTACTCGAATAGGCTAAGTTTCTAAGATATAAGATTAACATGGGCGACTGTAGATTGTAGATTCTAAACATAGCAACCGCAACTGCAGAATGCACTTTCTTTTCAAAAAAGGACAGAACACAGCTGCATAATATATTGTTTATACTTTATTTAAATTTCCATCCTATTCCCTTGATTACCAAATATATTTCTCTAATATAGTCTATCAACAAAGGCCATGAACGCGTTTCCTTTTCTTCTTCACGCCTTCGTTCGTGCTTGGGATGAAAGCAAATTTTATAACATACTCGGTGGACAATGCAAGCAATAAATTTATGCGTATGTTTAGTTCCATTGTCGTATTGAGCCGCAGTTACGTAATTTAACTCGAAGGTTAATATTTTTAAAAAGTTTCATTGCACCGTTCTCAGCGTCACAAAGGTTTTTTTCATTCTTCGCACGTGGTCGTCTTTCTTCTCTCAATATATGTACATATACATATCATCGTTTTCCCATTTTCAAGATAGGCGATAAAGATTATCCCCAGAAACCTTTCCTTTTTCCCGCCGTTGTTCGCCTCGTTATTTCCTTTCATGCATTCTCACTCTCTCTTTCGATACTTTAGGTAAACCAGACATGCATTGATGCATTCAGGTTTTGTTCCCAGTTAAGGAACGAGAAAGAAATTCATCGTTACATGAACCCATCTTAATAAAAGCTTTCATATTAATCTTAGGCTTTTATGAGCTGCTTACACACGGAACTAGCTCTCGTGCTTCGGTATCTCCAATATCGTGTATGAGAGATTTTTTTGGAACAGTTCCGATGGGGCACAATTCGAACGATGCTTATCACTTCTGGTTGCACGTCCGCATTTAAATTTAACCCAACATGGCAGATTCGTTTTAAAGCTATATAGCTCTCCGCCACTTTTTCGAAATATTTGAAACTTTGGAAATTTAATAAATCTGTATATAGGCGGAAGAGATTTATTCGGATTTTAGATTCATTAAAAGCATTTTATCCTGCCAAAGACCGTATATCCAGGAAAATATTTTTTTTATTTTCATTAGCCTTTTTAGGAAGAGGTAGCACATTCCTGTACTTAGAGCGCTACAGGAAGTCATTCGAATAACATAAAACTCGAAGGATAATTTTTCTTATCGCCTGTGCTAGCTTTTTCAGCTTTCCTTCGCACTTCACCGTTGTGGGTTGCCTGCGTATCGTCACTCGTTGCGGACTACTGCGATAATGAATCGAGTCCATTATATTTCAGCCAGCATTGGGGAGTCACTCTAGTAAATATTCTCAATTAAATAATGCTTGTTAGCCACACATGTAGTTCCCCGTTGGTGATTGTAGTCTTATGAACCTCAGGGCAAATACGAGTGTTTTAATTTTCTGTGGTTTATGGTTTTTCGAGCAGTCCAAGCGACTAAATCGGACTTGTATCTACTACTTTTGATAACGTATTTCAATAATTTTAGAGATCTCTGAGGTACACATGGCTTTCACAGTTTATTATCTTAGGTTTACCTACAAGAGTTTCAGCGAGTTTCGGTCATTTACGCGCCAAAAACATACACATCAGTCGATGAAAGGTTTCAATGCTTAGGAATCTGCAATTATCTCTCTTTCAAAAGGGCTTAATATTTTCTAATCTTATTCATATGCATTCAACGTATGTTACTGAAACGATTTTCTAGAGTTTTTCAATGACAAAATTTTTTTAAATTTAAATTTTTTTTTACTTTGTTGCAGCAATCAGCAAATAAAAAACGCATCAATAATTTGATTTAGTTGAATATACATATATCATGCAGCTTGTGTATGTACACAAGAATTCAAAATAAATATAAACATGCCCTTGCATTTGTATTTATGCTCTTAGACATATAGTACTTAAATGAAAGTTAGTGGTTTGCTCGGCTATCGGTCAAAGGTACACACATATACACACGTACACGTATATATATACACGTATATATGTACACGTATATATATATATATATATACATATAGAAAAGTTGTGGCACTTCAAGCGAAGCATATAGAATACTTGGTCTGCATTGAATGTTAACGAGGCCACATAAGTACTTACATATATACATATATGTTCCTTTGCTGTGGTTTGCGTATCCCACAACATTACGCATCCAGTTGTCTAAAGTGTTTGGTCGTACTATGTAAATCATATTTCATATAAGAATAAACTGTGAACTCTTTCGCCCTTCAACAAATACATAGAAACTAAATGTATAGACAAATATTATGGTCGAACAAGATATAGAATAAGACTTGTTTAAAGAAATGTACACGAATATATACGCATGCATACATATATAGGAGATATATACGATTATATATGCGAATACATATATATATATATATATATATATGTATTATTATATTTTGTTATATTTTATCTAAGCTTTACACAATATTGCAATGCCTATATGCGTTTTAGGATTATTATAACCGGCTTCCGGAAGAATGAGGGATATATTCAGTTTGTCCAAACATTTGCAACGTTCGGAATAAAGCTTCAGAGAGCCGTCCTCAAAGTGTGTATATTTTTGGTCAGCATCAAATTCTTAATCGATTCAGGCATGTCCGTCTCACCGTAATGCGTTTTAATATCTGCGTTAAATATTGTCGTGAAGATACGGCCTAAAACTCTGCAAAAGATTATGAAAATGACCCAAACTGATCAAAGGACACAACTACAACGCGTGCATACCTATGTAACAAAAACCAAGAACACTTTTGCTTTCCGTATTTTTTGCTCGTTACTCGTGGACTACAACATAAAATTATATGTATTTTTTTTTTTTATTGTGAAATACAATAAGCAAGAAATTTATATTCGGTCGTAACGGAATCTTTTATACTCATCACCGTTATCTTAAAAAACACAAAAAAAGAAAAACAGTTAAGATTTGACGTCTTATAATACGGAGTGGGCGCGGATGACCTTTTTCTATTTTCAAAATAAAAACGTGTATACGTTGTAGGCGTGTCCTTGGGGTATGTTTAGTCTTTCAAATTTTTTTGCAAATTTGTATGCGATATCTTTATTTTCGCTAATGGTATACAGTTGCACAGACAGACAGATGGACAGACGGACATGCGTGCGCGCACTCCAAATTTGAAGCTAACCGAGAATTTATATACTTTGTGGCGTTTTTGAAGCTTGTTTCTGCACAATGAAAAAACAAATTAATATTTTATACACTATAATATTAAGCGGGCGTGGTCCATTATTCCTATTTTTTTTTTTTCAGTTTCTACGCCATCATCCATAGGATATGAGTTAAAATTTTTGTACATTTACTTGCTATAGTCTATGAGTAAAAAACAAAAAATCAATTTCTCATTCCTTTTGAAAAACAGAGGCGTTCTCAGTTTACGTGGTGCTGCGGGCATGCCCTTCGACTGTTTGAGCCAATTTTTAGTGCTAACCTGTGTGCAAGATCGACCAATATTTCTGTCAAATTTAAAGTCAATTGCTTCCCTTTTGCGGCTAGGAGAATGTTCAAAAACAGATTTTACACGGACGGACAGGAGGTCAGACGGACCCATCGACATGCTTAAATAGATTCAGAACTTAAGGCTGATCAAAATAATATATATTTTATGGGTTCTTTGAAGCTTCGTTCTGGGCGTTGCAAAAGTTATGACAAAATGAATGCACCCTCATCCTTTGACAATGGATATAAGAACGATAAGCAAACATGAAAACAAACTATTTTTCAGTTACAATGTAAATATTCGTCGGCAGATTCGTTTTAAAGCAAATAGCAATTTTTAAATTGTTCAAAGCTGCCAGTCGGCTGATTTTGTTGAAACATTAAGAACACTTATCAAACTGTCATATTCAACTGACGATAATCTAAGCAGCTAAAAATTTTTTTTTACGAAAAAATTTGATTGAAGGAAAGATTTTTGTGAATTTCAATGTAACCAAAACAAAATTCAATTTAAACTTTTTGCCAGTGCAGTGGAAGTTTGAACCAAACTAGCAATGAACAGCAACTTAAGAAGTTCTCCTTTAAGTTTACCTTACGGGGACGCTTGCGTGCAGAGAGTGAGTGAAATGGTTAATTCATATGGTAGGAAGAACTGCTGACATCTTTCTTTTTCAGTCAGGTAATGCGGCAATTAATTCATAAGAATCTCTCCTTTAAAGTCGTTGAGACGGGGGAATATTTTTGTGCGTTCCTGCGCAAACGTATTCTATACCTTTTTTTCTGATCGTTTGCTCTTTATGAAAACTACCCGAAAACTACTAAAAAGCAAAGTATCAGAAAGAAACTGTTTCTCTGATTGAAGCATTGGCTTTTTATTTAGCATCAGCGGTGTAATGACCTTAAAGTTAAATGACTTTAAGTGCATAATTAAGCATTCTATGTTCTACATCTTCTAGCATCAATGTTAATAAGTTGTTTTTATTAACAAATAATAATAATCCGTGAAAAGATGAAGAGAAGCACTCGAAAGGGGCCCAAAAGAAGGCTATTTGATCTAATCTCCTTTTTCATGCTTCCTTCGTCTTAAGAAAATGAACTAAGTGAACAACTAAAGGGTGAAGAGGGAAAATTACTCTTTTTCTTTTTTGACATGACCAACCACTCAAGGATTATTTGCTCTATGTGTAAGACGACGACGATGAGAGAGAAGAGAGAAGAGAGAAATGAGAAGAGAGAAAATAGAAAGTGACAGGGAATGGCCGCACCCTAGCTGGTGTGTGTCGGTATCTTTATTGGATTAATGTATCTCTTATGTTATGAGAAAATATTTAAAGAATTGCGAAATCATTTTTGTAAACAACATTCTAAAGGAATTTTTCACAGTAGTGGAAATAATCCGTTGTAACGATCATTTATAATATTTTATAATAATTGTACGCTTATAGCTTACTCGCCCGATGGAAAACGTATTTCACTGCGCCAAAAGTAGTAACTAAAACCCATGAAAAAGCAAAATGTCAGGCAAAACTCTGCCAGATAATAGCTGCTTTGATCATGCAACGCTACCCAAGTCGAGTGAGGACAGCTCGAAGTTCAGAATGTACGTTAAAATATTATGGATGAACTTACGAGATACATTAGGCTTTTAAGTTTAAATGCTTAAGACTTCAAAGACGATTATGGAGTATCACATTTTTTTTTTTTTTCGTTGAAACGCCTTCAATGGGGAGCATAAGGAAAAAGTTTGATTAGCGCTTTACAGGCCTCGCTTCATATATAATTCATAAGAGTACGTTTTATCTGGCGAAGTCCTAAAAGTTCTACCCATCAGTTTTATATGAGAAATTCCGGATAAATTATAAATAAAATATACGAGAACAAGTATTTTTCTCGCATCTATGTGAACAATGTTTGTTTTGCTAGTAAAAAAGCAAGTCTGCATCATACGCTGTTAAGTATTTTCTCCTTTTGTTTTCTTCTAGTTTATTATTGGCCGGGTACGTAAAGACTTGAAATACCATGTGCAGAGTGAGCATATTTGTAAAAGTTTTTAAGTTAGTTCATCTGTGTGTCATATACATATATAAAAATGCCTGTGCACACACAGTGACAGTGACAGCTTACATAACTTAACCTATAGCCTATAGCCTTTTTAGTAGCAGTATGGGTAGTATTGAATGTTAATAAATGCATGCTTGAACCTATTTCTGTTTTTTTTTTTTTTTTTTTTTTTTAGCACACGCGTGCACCCAGTAACCCACTCACTTACTCTCGAATGTGCTTTATAGACGGTTCGTACGTTGCAGCAACATTTGTATTGAATTTGGCCTCTTTAATAACCATCGATAAAATATGGGAACTATGGGAGGGAAGGCATTCATGGCGCACAGGTTTAATTGAATATTTCTAGTATCACTTATAAAAAGAGCGAGAGAGAGAGAGAGAGAGAGAAGGAAAGGGAGAGGCTGTAAGTATTTATTGTCCATGTGCGTCATATAATTTCTTTCAGATCCAGTTACAAATGAGTTAATGACAATGTAGCGGTGTAAGTTTATGCGTGCGTTTATGATCTCTTTCGCTCGATTTTCATTTTGAGTAAACTTTTGTTCCTATCTGCCTTTAAATGTATTGGGCAAGTGTAGTCCTTATCTGACGACATGATTTACATATTAATCATTGCTCATTTGAGAATTTGCTGAATTCTTAGTGTTTCACTTAGTTGGATTGAGTTTTCATGCGATACAGTAATGAACTTCTAGTGACATAAAGGCTAACAAGAGATAATGTGTCGTAAAACCTAGTCGATAATATGGCTTTTTGGAAACAAGATTGTTGTTGTTTTTTGTGGTGCACCTTTTACTTTGGCTTCGTCAACACGGGCGTAGGAAGACATACAGATGTATTGTGAGTATTGAATGATGTGTTATCCCCTGCACTACCAGAATTTCTTAATTTGAATTTCTTTTCATTGTATTCTATTTTCGAGCAAAATGCTTTATCTTTCCATCAACAATTTTTGCATCTCTCCTCTCTATTCGAAAAGAAATCAATGTAGTCCTTGTACCTTACATCACTTGTGTTGCAAGCATATATCAAGTTTTGCTTGCTGAATTGATTTAATCTTGTCCGTCCCTCTGTCCATCTTGCTTTTTTCTGTTCAACCAACGGCCCGCAAAAATTGACAAATTTAATATGTTGAAGTCTTTTGAGCCAATAAAGAAAGGTCGGAATACGTTTGTTGTTGATCACTTCCCATAAATTGCGTTGATTTAAAAAGTCGTTATACGGATAACCGTATTAGACGAAATAGTCTTACGTGCTTAGAGTTTTAACTTGTTTTACTTTAAATTTTCTACGAGCTTAGCGGATACACTAATAAGATATTGAAAAAAGGAAAGATTGAGAATCACAAAGAAATATGTTACAACTGGATTAAAGTAACTTAGCCCCTGTATTAAATGATGGAATCTTTATAATCTTCAGTAGACATTCATCGAAAAATTCGCCAAGCCCGTCTAGAAGCTGCTTGTAAACAGGATATCATTGCCTCGAGTCGATTTGCGGGAATAAAAAGAAAATCATTTTTTAAAGGAGCAAACAATTTTTTACTAATTTTTGAAAAATTTCCGAAGAATTTGTAAAAACTTTCTTTTGTGGTAGTGTTATGTTAAATGGAAAACAATATATATATATATATATATATATATAGAAGAAGAAATAGAGAGATGAGATTTTTTATATTGCACTTGTATGGTTGAAACATGGTAAATAACCTTAGCAAAAGAAATTTCATACATGAGGTAATTGCGTGCTTGCACAGCAAACAACAAGGACAGCATATTGAAGCTTCAACGAGACACACAAACATTATGATTGTTTGACTTATTTTCTCTCTCCCGTAGGCCGTATTTGTGCTATCCATTTACTAGAAACTTTTAGCAATTGTTGGTGTGGTGGGCGATGGATTGCCTCTTTAAAATTGATTTGTGATCATTTCATAAACACCTTTGCCTGTTTTTCTATGAGTGCACAAAAAAGAGACGAAAAACTTAAACGAAAAGGTGTCCTTACGCTTACTAAGAGTTCGTATCCTTTACGACACATATAGCTGGCATTTCTCAATATACAGAAGAAAGGGAACGACAAAGTTAGTTTATTGCAATTTGTAACGTAATTATATAAGAAGTTTATTATAAATGTGCAAATTTATCTGAAAATCGCATCCAAGTGAAGACAATAAACTCTTCCAGGAAATGAAAAACTTTTATTGAAAGTTTTTTACGCTCATGCGTTGAGCAAACATCAGCGCACTCTGTGACAGCGATTTTAAAATTTGCCAAAAATTTCTCAGCTCCAGCAAAGCATGTAAAAAATGACAAAACTTGTCAGTAAACTGAATTGTAAATCCGTGTGGATTATGCTTTTACAGTTGTTATATCCACCACTGTACGACGCAGGTATAACTATGTTATCAAAATGCTTGCAATACTCAAAAGGATGCTTGAAAATGATAAAGTAGTGCATGCTATCAATATACATAATGGCTAACTGCGATGACTTTGATCTTTCTTTAGAGAAAATATCAGCTTTCCATTTAGTGTGTAGAGATGCTAACCATGGAACGCTCAAGATTGCATTGTCAAGATTCATTACTTTCGCTGTTTGATTCGAAGAAATCCACTGACAAAGTCCATCAAACATTATTAGGAGCTTACGATGATGCTGCTCCATCGTATTCCAATTATTGGTTTTGATTATAACGATTTAAAAGCGGTGACAAAGGACGTCCTGGAGGACCAAAAAAGTTCGAAGACAATGAATTGCACGACTTATTGGACGATAATTCAGCTCAACTCTCCAACAATCAACTGCTTCTAGACATTTACATGCGGTGAGAAAAAACGAAAAGAAGAGCAAATGGGTACCGTACGAACTGACTGCAAAACCCCTTTCGAACCATTTCGATATCGCGGTTTCATTGCTTGCCAGACAAAACAAAAAGAGACTTCTGTAGGGTATTGTGACTGACGACGAAAAGTGGACCAAGGACGACCTCAAAAGGCATTGGAGAATCTAAAGAGGTCATCCGCTGGCGTGCATGTGGTAGGATCAGAAAAGTGTAGTGTATTACGAGCTGTTAAAGTCAATTGAATAAATTGAACGATGCATTGTTGCAAGAAAGACCGGCACACACTAGGACACACATTGTAAGAGTTGTCAAGGATACACTGTTGCAGCTTAAATGGGAAGCTCTGCCGCACGTAGCGTACTCAGCAGATATAGCACCTCCTGGTTATCACTTGTTCAGATCGATACTGCATGGCTTGGCTCGAAGTGTTAAAAAAGTGCAGAAATGGGTCAATGTTTGGATCGCTGCCAAAGCAATATAGTTTTTTCGACACGATATTGCCCTTCTGTCAGAAAGATGGGTAAAATTCGGTGCGAAGATGAAAAATATTTTGATGATCAAATCACGCGCACCCAATGTACTTAAGTACAGAAATTCGATATTTTTAAAATTTTTGTTTTGCCTGCTGTGACAATTAAATTCGGGAAGGAAATCATAGAGCTACGCATAAATGTAAAGCAATTAAAATTTATGTAAAAATATCAGAAAAATTTCTTATGAACAAAACGTATGGAATAACGAACAAAATGCACAATTTACATGAACTTTTGTTGCTTTTGCTATTTGTGCAAAAAAAAAGCAAAAAGTTTGCATGAATTGAGCGCATTCCGTTTGAAAGCAACGTTTGAAATAACCTTTGAACGCCACATCGATTAATTGAATATTTTTTGACAATGATATCGAGAAAGAATGAAATATTTATTGATTAACTTTTACCTTTAATTGGCGACACTGACTAAATGCCGTGAAACGATCATTTGACGTCAATCATACGCCTCGAATGAAATAAAATATTCGTACAAGTTTTAAGAGTGAAACTGTACGATAAGTCTATCACATTCTATTTTAGCAGATAGAAGTAAATGTTTTCATCCTTGTTAGGACTACATTTCAACTCATTTATACTGGGGAGTTCTTAGTGAAAAGAAAAGGACACTCAAAGTATTTTGACAAAAAGAAAAACAAAATTCAATTTTATTATCTACTTATACCGATCTGAATTTTGAACCAAAAATTCTTCCGAGCACTCTAACGCTCTAACAACGAATGAATGAATGCAATGAGCATTAGACTTGAAAGAGAAAATAATTTCGTCGAAGCCATATATAATCTTGTATTTCACAAACAGCTTAAGATAGGGACAATCCCGTATTTCGTACTTTTTGAAACCTTCAACATATCACAACAATTTTTTTATGTAAACGACTTCATTACTCCATCAACTTTCATTTCGCCATTTCATGATTTTTTACTTGTTTTTGTACACATATAACACAGTTGAACATTTAAACCACCTCGGACCATATTTTTGCGTAAAAATAAATAAAATATATGCATTCATCCATAAACACAATTTTACATGTACTATGTGCTGTGAACAAAAAAAAAACCTATGCACACCAACACATCACGTTGTCATAAGCACTTGTTAAACAGGGATAAATGATCTTTTGTGATGTAAATAAAAAAAAAAAAAAATTAATACTAAAAAAATAAATAAATGTTATAAATAAAAATTTCAATTTTATAAATAAACCAAACTGTGCTTTTGCAACAGACAGCTCGTAATATTTAAAGAGTGCATATAAGTGCTAAAAATGTATCAGAAAATGTCTAATTACTGCAAAGTATTACTGAATGTATTCAAACTTGTCTCTCTGTCGGATGTCTGTCCATGCCCATTTTGTTTAACATACAGGCGGCAACTTTTTAAAAATTTGCATTTTTGAAATCTGTTCATAAAACGAGTTTTTGGAAAAATATTGGAAATTGCAAATTTGTTGCAAAAATTGCGACCTATAAGTTCAACACAAAGGTACATGGCTGTCTATGCATGGACAGATGGACACACAAGGTTAGCACTATTCAGAAATAAATTCTGATTCGATCGATATAGTAAAAAATCGGCCTGTCTTACACTCTTCAGAGGATTACATACATTCGCACAAATATTGCCCATCGAGCTATTATTGTAGGATCAGTTATATATCCATAGCGGCAAAAGAAAACGAACCCCTGCCAAGGAAATTACAACAACGTCTGCAGACTTAAGCCTGCTGTCCCGCAGATCACTGCACGAAAAGAAGGTGTACTTACATCCCCACGCTAAACGTGGAACAATGGATGGGGAGAAGAAACGGAGACGTGAATTTGTTCCTAACACAAATTCTCGCTGGTCCTGGAAATTTTTCGACTTATTTTTGCCGCTCCAACTTCCGGGCAAATAACGCAAGCGATCTGTGGTGAGGCAAAAACGACGATGCGCAGCGTTCTGTTTTCGTCTATGTTTAGATCTTTGCAAGAAGAAGTTACGCCAGGCAGCTTGCTAGCCGTCATATTTAAGGACACCGAAAGATGGAAGATATATGCCTGTTTTTTGCAAGACGCGCTTCGATATAGAGTCTCATGCGAAAGCGGCATCCAAATAAGGGAAAAAGAGGGAGAACCATATGCGGGGCCAGTACAGGTCAGTCTTGGGATTGAACTCCTAAGCCGTTGCAAAAATTCAAAAAAATTGGCAACCGATAATAGTAAGCAAGTTCAGTTCAAATTTCGAGACAAACGAATGGATCGATATTAGAATTTAATTTAGGTACGCCGTAGGCAAGGCGCTCATATGAAGAGCAGTTGATTTGATAGAATGTAAGGAATGCGTTACTGAGATTAAATTATAGATTTCATTTAGATTTTTGCAAAGGACTTTAAAAAAGCGTTGAAAAACTCGTAATTATCTCTACAATGGCTGAGTGTTATGTTATGGAAATAAAGTTTCTAGAAAAATGGAGAAAAAGTATTGTCGGTGAGTCAATAATACCATTTATTAACGTAACCAAGAAAGAAACAAGAAGAATACATTTACGTTTCCGAAGCAACGGTAAAGCTAAAAAAGCAACCCATTTTCGTAGCGTTCCAATTTGCTTTTGAGCTCAATCAATTTAATTCACATACACCACCTCTAGAGAAGAGACTACCATCGGTCATACTCAAGTAAGGCTTTGACTAAGCGCATCTTTGTAACGTAACGGTCGTTTTTACGACATTCTAGTTTTCAGTTCAAATCCAGATAGCAATGTTTCATGTTTCAGGTTCTCAAATATATCGAGTTTTTAATGCTTACTTTTCATTAACATTACTATTATTAGCGCTTGCTTCTCTTCGATATCAATCGGAACATATTGTTGCGACTATGAAATGCTTCAACTTCTTGAAAATAATAAAAGTTGTCTTAAAATCTCAACAACAGTGAAGGGATCTTTCCCCTCTTAAGCCAACATTTAAAACAATCGAAAGCAAATCCAGGTTTTTACAATTCACTACAAACATATCTTCTTGCTTTACTGAGATTTCGCATATTTAACTCTTGTAATTCCCAAGTTTATTGTATTTGCGGTGTACTTGCTTTTTCTTTTTTTTTACAATGTTTACTTGCCTAACACAGCCCGCGTGCAATGTTGAACTGTGATGATTTGGTTTGCATATTTTTTATCTCCACATCAGAACGCACCGTACATGTAGTATGGTTTAATTAAAGCAATAAACCCCGGCAACTATCTATCATTGAATTGAACAGAAAATTTTCATTACAAAAGAAAGACTACAATGATTATCGTCAACTGAATCCATTAAATCTCTTCAAATTTTATAATTTTTTCATACCCACCACTGAAGGAAGGGCGTACACTCATTTTGTTTTTACGTTTCATAATGTATGTAACGTTGAAAGGGAAACTTCAGACACCATATAAGGTATGTATACTCTTGATCAGCGTGATTGATTACGCCTTGTCTGTCCGTCTGTGTGTTTTTGTGGTTGCTAGTACTCTCCTGGTCGCAAAAATGAAGATATCGACTTCAAATTTGATAGAAAGGAAGATGAAAAGGCAAGATCTTGCATAAATATTCATTTCTTTATCAAAATTATTAGGTCAAAGAACAGTTGCAAACCGCCCATATGCACGCTCACACTAGATTAGAAAATAATCTAAGCTCGAAAAAACGATGACAATTTTTTTTGATATTTTTATCTTTTAGCTTTCGATCCCCCACATTCAGCTCAAAAACGCTTCTCATGGGTTTATCAATTTAATTCCAATTTATTTTCTTCTCCTCCTCCTCCTTCACCTACTTATTTTCAAAATATCTTATATTAACGTACATGAAAAAAGGAGAAAATTTGATTAGCGATTTCTTGCTTATTACACTCACCACCCGAAGGATGAAAATATTCATTTCACAACGACCAGAAGGAAGCTTCAGAGAACCCACGAAGTATAGATATCCTTGATTAGCCGATTAGACGTATGTCTGTTCGCCTTCGTAATGTCTTTTGCAAACATTCTCCTGCCCGTAAAAATGAAGGTGTCGGCTTCAAATTTGCCAGCAACATTGAAAGTTCTTGCAGGCGGGTTGGTATTGAAATCGATCGAAGAATACGTTGTCTGAGAGCATTTCTGTTTTGCAAAGGGAATAAAAAAATTGCTTTTTTGCTTATAATTCATAAGCTACAGGAGATAAACTGCAGAAATTTGAACGTATATCCTTTGGACGATGCTTTAGTACCTGTACAAAGGGAAAAGGTTGATCAGACCTCTTCAATATTATACTGGATCAAATAGCTTTATAGCGCGTAGAAGCAATTTTCACAAATGCTATAAAGTAACGAATTTTTGACTAGGTTCAAATTCGGAATGCACTTAAGCATGTGAGTGCGATTGTCCGTCCACCGGTCCATTTGCCCAAGTGTATAATAGCTTTGGTAAATA